TTTTATGACTTTTAGTTAATTCCTACTGCCTACTTTATTAATGCTACCAAAAAGACAATATTTTTCTCAGCAAGATGAACATATTTTCGAATCCTTAAACCTACAGTAAACCCTCAAAAAATAAAAAAGTCCGTCGACCCGGGATCGTACCCATAATAATCCTACAATTCGTCAGGAGTACTCCGATGTCAAGACCAATAATTTTGCATTGCCTAGAAGATTACCAGTGGTTTATATAGGCTGGTCCCAGGGCCCTGGTGCTACCGTAATTCCCGTTGTCTCGGGCTGAATGGAGTCGTGGGGCGGAAAATTTGATGCGCCATCAGGCCGCACCACATTCGTGGTATAAGAAAAAGTCTAGCAATATTCTGCGGCCCGTCTGGGTGCGTAAAAAGGAGCAAGTAGTACTTCTCTGTATTGCTCACTGCACTAATGGGACGAGGTATTTCGGGACACACTAAACAGAATTTGAGAAGTATCTTTCAGATTTAAAAATTAAAAACTGCATTTTGTGGAAGGGTTTGTCATTCCCAATTAGATCTCCAGAAAAATAATTTGTGGAAAGCGAGCAAAAATATTTTTATTTTGGATTCTCAGGGGAAGCGAACGGCTAGGGAAGAGAGAGAAAGAAAGAAAGAGAGAAAGAGAGGGCGAGGGAGATAGAGAGAGAGAGAGAGAGAGAGAGCGAGGGAAAGATAGTGACGAAAACTGTAATTTCCTATCCACCGTTTTTCTTTGAAGCTTTGCCGCCATCATAATTGTTCTAGTAGTACGGCGTACTCCAGCGTACTATCGGAACGTTACACCTCCACGTACAGCACTCCAGGGTGCTAATGCACTTGGGGGGCAGTCCCGATTTTGACTACAAGACGCTCCAAATGCCGTTTTTTAAACTCGAAGCCTCTGGAAAAGCTAAGCCAAGCCTAAGCCTAGGCTTAGCTTCATACAAACGAAGCCTAAGCTTAGCTTGAGCCAAGCTAAGCTTCGCTCTAAGCTTAGTCCTAAATGACCCCATTTTGACCACCTAAGGCAATTTAAAGCTCAAGTTAAGCTTAGCTTGGGCTTAAGCTTAAGCCTAAGCCTAAGCTAAGCTTAGTTAAAGCTAAGTTAAGCCTAGGCTTAAGCAGAAAACCAAGTAGCTTAAGCGGAGCGTCTCGTAATCCCTTACTACCAAATTCGGGCTGCCCCCCCCCTAACTGCATTAGCACCGCACTCCAGATTTGCGATGTATAATCCATGCTCCATGTTTTCATAAAATGCGACCTAGCTCTACAGTAATCCCCCAGCCAAATCCAATCCACATGCCAAGTTTCGGATTTTTGGTCCCTTAATTTTTATAAACCTTAAAGCAAAGTTCCTGAAATGACTGTTTCTACCCTGAAAACCAAACACCCCGGCGCGCTTATCTATAAGTCCGGTCCTGTAAGCTGGAGTAATGCGGATGTGTGCGCTTCTCGCAGTTGTGTGATTGTACCCGATCCCCCACCCCGAGTTCTGATGCTTTTTGCTGGCTTAATCTTGTGTTGGGATCTTCTGAGAACAGGTACAAAATCAGCCCCCAAAAAAAGGCAAAAAGCTATCATACTAATTTAGTAAATTCTGCAACACCGTGCACGGATAAGTTGACTGCCGAGATACCGACGGTTGGCATGGCAAGGTCCCATTTTATCAGTATAAAGGTGAGTTAAGTCTATGCCCAAGGAAAAGCGTAAGCCTAAGCCTAAGCCTAAGGTTAAGTCTAAGCCTAAGCCTAAGCTTAAGCCTAAGCCTAAGCCTAAACCTAAGCCTAAGCCTAAGCCTAAGCTTAAGCCTAAGCCTAAGCCTAAGCCTAAGCCTAAGCCTAAGCCTAAGCCTAAGCCTAAGCCTAAGCCTAAGCCTATGCCTAAGCCTAAGCCCAAGCCTAAGCCTAAGCTTAAGTCTAAGCCTAAGCCTAAGCTTAAGCCTAAGCCTAAGCCTAAGCCTAAGCTTAAGCCTAAGCCTAAGCCTAAGCCTAAGCCTAAGCCTAAGCCTAAGCCTAAGCCTAAGCCTAAGCCTAAGCCTAAGCCTAAGCCTAAGCCTAAGCCTAAGCCTAAGCCTAATCCTAAGCCTAAGCCTAAGCCTAAGCCTAAGCCTAAGCCTAAGCCTAAGCCTAAGCCTAAGCCTAAGCCTAAGCCTAAGCCTAAGCCTAAGCCTAAGCCTAAGCCTAACCTAGGCCTGAGTTTAGCATACCTTTAGAATTACACCGTCCACGCCGTCTGCGGCTCGAAGTGCAGGTTACGCCTCGACGTCGGCCTCCAAGGACCAATTGGTCTCGGATCTCCGCTCTTTGAAAAAATGCCGTTCACAATGTTTGGAAATCAGCTAGACCACGATCGATTGTTGTAGTGGGTGTTATTAAAATATTGCCAAATTTCATAACCTGAAATTTATATGTAAAAATTGCTTAAATACAAATATTAGTAAATTTTTTTTTGTAAGGTAGGTCCATTTTTGAAAGGCAAAAACGTTTATACTTAAAAATTACAGTACTTGGACATCCAAGTTGTCGTATGGAACCTCGCTGCGAGCTCGGGACCTCCCGAATCCATTGACCCTGCAGGAGACGTCGGAATTCAAGAGCTTAACCCATGCCTGGTCCAACTACAGCTACGCATTTACTGTGACGTCTGAATATTACTATAAAAGTAACAAAAATTTTATGTTTAATTACAATTGCTAAGTCCGACCAAATATCCTGGTGCACGCGGTGCTAGCAGTTCCGGATCCGCAGCATTTTCAAGCAATAGGAGCTGGAGATGTTCACTACTTCATCAGCCGGGCCTTGAGTTCATTGGCATTTATGCAGGCGACGTTGGCGAGCCGAAATGTTGGTGATTTAAGCCTAAGCTTGAGCCCATGCCTAAGCCTAAGCCTAACTTCGTTCAGACAGGTGCCAACTGCAAGTTTGAAGCGTACGCCGGTTTGTCGACCAAAGTTGCCGCGGATCAACTGTTCATCAACAGCTACGAAATGTATGATATTCTCTCTAGCTCTTTCTCTCTCTCTCTCTCGCTCTCTCTCTCACTCTCCCTAGCATTCTCTCTAGCATTCTCTCTGTCTCGTTATCCCTCTCCCTTTCTCTCTCTCTCTCTCTCTCTCTCTCTCTCTCTCTCTCAAGCAAAGCCACTCCAGAAGCCATCAACGCGTTCTGTGGAATCAGCATTGGCAACGACCATCTATCAGGATCGTTTTCGATAGCTGTTCGTACGACATCGTCGTGACGGCCAACGCTGACTCTCAGGAGATCGAAGATTCGGTGAGCAGTAAGAGAGCGAGCAAGAGAGAGAGAGAGCGAGTGAGAAACAGCACGAGAGATTCAGCTACAATGTCCGTCAACCGCCTAGAACATCTCCACCCTGCCCGGTGAGGTTCAGTACAAGGAATTTCTGAGTCGCTACTATCCGATCATTGACGATACGGCGATGCGACAGAAACATTGGGTTGGAGGCGAGTTTCCGGAAGTGCACCTTAAAGGGATAGGCTTAAAGGGACGATACCTTTAGGCCGCTTCCTGACCGTCACTGTCCTGAAGTTCAAAAAGGGGCAACTTTGGCTGGACATAGGCGTGCAGAACGTGCTTGAACCGGGTAAAAATAGGTAGGGATGTTTTTTAACTAAAACCCCGACCATAAATAAATGCCGACGGTCCAAATGCCGACACTTGAAGGTCGATCCGCAAAATTCGGGAATTTTACGATTTTTGGCTTGCCCGGCCTGGCCCGGCCCGGCGAAATTTTCCGGTGTCGCGTTTCCGGCTTCTCTTCCAATTTTGCAGTATTTTCACAATCGGAATTTCATAGGGGTCGATTTAACTGTAGTTATTTTGATGTTACCAGTTAAAAAACAACTTTAGCTACGTCTTCGACAGCAACTCCACGGCGGTCTACTGTGCAGCTGGCGTGGATGATATTTGGGTAAGACTCCAGATAACCCCCCCAGCCGGCACCCAACTTTTGTATCTCGGCTCCCTGTTCATCTACAGATGTGTAAAGTATACCAAAATGTTCGTCTTGCTGTGGCGAGTATTTTGGTATGCTTTACACACCTGTAGATAAACAGGGAGCCGAGATACGGTAGGTGGGTGTCGGCTGGGGGGGGGTTATCTGGAGTTTAGCCGATATTTGGGTATAGTTTTTAAATTAATCAAATTCGACTACTACTTAAAAAGTCGCGTCTTGGCCAAAAATATCACATTTAACGGTTTTCAGCTTACTTTTCTACCTTTTCTGCAAGCCCCTGGTAAGGCGATGGTTCGGCTGGAGATGTGGCATGAAGATCCCGGTATCGACTGCGTGCCCCTGGTTGAGTTCGCCCCTAGCACAACAACATCAAGAAGTACAAAAAGTGCTTTCCGAAATTCTATTTCCAGAATGTTTGTGATTTTCTTGTTATTCTATTTGTTGCAATAAATTGGTTGGTTTTCTATAAGCTTCAATTGCATCGCCTGCTTAGGCTTATGCCTAGGACTAGGCTGAAGCTTAGGCTTCGGTTTGGGCTTGGGCTTGGCTGGGGGATTAGGCGTAGGCTCAGACGTAGGCTTAGGCTTACAAAGCAAGCATCAAACACCGGAACCGGTCACGCAACCCTCACGCAACCCTCAAGAACGTAACACTCGATCAAACTTGGCACTGATAAGGAGAAACATCGGCTTAACTCCTTCCCAAATACTCGTGTTCTCGAAGTTTTCGCAGGCCCTCTAAATGTCGATGTTTTGGATCCGTTTTTGGTTGATCTTTTCGATACAAGGTGGGTGAGATGACGAAGGCCAGGAGCTAAGCTCAGGCGTAAGCCGAAGCTTTATCCGAAACCGAAGCCTAAGCCGAAGCCGAGCCAAGCCTAGGTAAGTCATCTTTCAGAAATAACCGTGGCTGTCATCAACATCAATCTCACCCCAACTTTGCCATCAACCACCTATCATCGCAGTAGTTTAGATGGAAAGGTATCGTTTCCAATAATTTCTACCAAACGGCATATTGCAGAAAATGACGATCAAGGCAGAATGCGAAGGTTGCAGCCTTCGTTTTATCATCGGGTTGTCGTGCTCGCTCGACGATCCGAAACCACGCTTTGAAGGCGTTCCATTTAAGTTCAACGACAGTGTGGTAGTGGAAGAATCAAAGACCTAGTGGGTCTCTTTCGCTCCAACTAGCTCTCTCTCTCTCTCCCCCTCTTTCCATCGCACTCTCACTCTTTTGCACTGTCTCGCACTCTCTCTATTACCCTCTCTCACTCTCTCCCTAGCACTCTCTCGCTCTCGCTGTCTCTCTGGGTCTCTTTCGGTCTCTATCTCTCGCGATGTCGCACTCTCTCTCTCACTCACTCGCTACCTCTTTCTCTTCGGTCGTTACATTTTTTGATTTTTAGCACCTGGACTTCTTCCGAAGCCTATGGGGTCTCGTTAATCGTTGCTGATATCACACCTCCAATCACCATTTCCGAATTGGTACAATTTACAAAACTGGCTGACAAATATTTACACTATGTCTATGTGTTTACAGTGCTTTCTGATGCTTTTTTTAAAGGTATCGATTCATAATCTGTCGTATTACGATTTTTACGATTTTTTAGTACCACCTGACCTCCTTGCCCACGTGGTGCTCTACAACCCACCGCAATCGTTTACCAAAATCGGGGCCGAGATAATACACACTTTTGTAACGCCATCTCGTGGAAACCGAGTGTCCTTCACCGAGATTAGGCCGTTGGGCGGGGATACGGTAGGTTTATACAGTACTTAAAACTCAAGAAAATTAAATTTGATAGAATGAGGATGACTGCGTGTTTGATGGTTATCTCGGATCGATCGAGGATGCGTTGGACTCGAAACGATTTGTGGATAAATTCACATGGTGGGAGAGAGAAAGGCCGAGAGAACCAGAGAAAGAGAGAGACAGAGAGAGAAAGAGAGAGAGAAAAAGAGAGAGAGATAGAGAGAGTGCGAGAGAGACAGTGCGAAAGAGTGCGAGAGAGACAGTGCGAAAGAGTGCGAAGGAGAGAGATAGATCGAAAGAACCTGCGAGCCGGAGCGAGAGAGAGAGAGAGAGAGAGAGAGAGAGAGAAAGGTGACGCAAAGGTTTCCCCTAATCATGCGCTGTCGCTGTAATTTTTGCTCGCTCGCGCTTACTTTCTCTCCCCTCTCTCCCCCTCTCTCTCTCTCTCTCTCTCTCTCTCTCTCCCTATCCCACTCCCGCTCTCTCACTCCGCCTACCGTAATTTTCAGTGACGGCCGTACCACGATCCCTGAACTATTGTGGAGCAACACCATCGCGACTCTTCGTTTCGGCAAAGCCATCTTCGACATCACGTGCACGACCAAGCCGTTTCACTTCAATTATTTGTTACTAAGGGTAAGCTAGGTATTCTGGAGCCGGTAAAGCTGAAATCCAGAACAGTACCAATGGCATCGACACAAGGTATACAGACGAGCTCAGTTATGGCTACCCGTCGACGACGGGCCCGGCTGTCGGAACGTTTCGCTACAGCTACTGGTTTGAGCGTAAGTAGAGCCATTCGGATAGTAATTTGGATTTTTTAAAATATTGTTCTTGTTTTTGTCCTTGTTTTTATGCGGTTTTGCCTTTCAGCGTAGTCGTCGTTTTGCCTAGTTGCCGGATGGGGGTCGATCCTGGCGCTTACTAACCAGCAGAATTCTGTGTTTTAGGCGACCCGCTGATTCACTTCTTTCTTACCGTCGAAAACATAACGCAAGGAATCCTGAGCTACTCAATGTACTACCTCAACGATGATGGGGAATTTGATAGCTTGGTGTAGGTTTGAACAAAGCATACAACGTCTCTCTCCCACTCTCTCTCTCTCTCTTTCTCGCTCTCTGTCTCTCTCTCTCATTCTCTCTCGCTCTTCGCTACTACGACTCGTTGTTAGGTTGAGCTTCACCGAAAGTCAAACCTGGCCCTTTTGCAGCTCTAGGCTATACCGGATCGAGGTCAGCGCAAAAATTTCTGGCGTCATCTTAATCTAGACGACGTGGATCCCCTCGGTTGTGAGCGCCAGGTTACGGACCCGGCTGGAGTGGCACCGTCAGGCTGATCCGATGCGAAGATGTACAGAAATCATCCCGAGACCGTCGACTACTGCCCTGGCGATGAGGTTTTCTGAAGTAGACGATCCAGTTTAAGGAATAATTTTGAGCACGACACCTGGCGTCGTTCGCACTCCTGGGATTGGTGCAAACTTCGGCTTGATCGTTATCATAGTTGGAAGCGTACTGGGGACAATATGTCTTCTAATCGGTCTTGTTTTGCTCATTAGATGGCGAAGGTAACGGCTTTTAAGGAAATAATGACTTTTATAGGAAGCGACTCATCGAATTCGAGCAGGACATCGCTCGCCAAATAGCGCGACTTCTTGAAAAGCACGACCCTCGATGGTATCTTGGGTATGGCGACTTCTCACGCATACTTATCCCAATTTAGCCCACAGTTGGGCGCTAACCTGCTCGCCGACGCCGAATGGGAAATCGACCAGACGGCGCTGAAATTTGGCGAAGAGTTTAGGAGGAATGAGATGCATTTGATAAGAAAAACTGTTTTTCATGGAGCGTTACCGTGTACAATGGTGTATCCATCCTTGAAGGTGTGCGAAAATCTAGGAGTGCCTAAGCCTAAGCCTAAACCCAAGTCCAAGCGAAGCCTAAGCAGAAGCCTAAGCCTAAGCTACAACGTAAACCTAAGCCTAAGCCTAAGCTTAGTTCCAAGCCTAAGCCTAGGTTGTCTATCCCATCACTGCGACTGGCCACGAGGTGATTGCGAAATCAGCGGTTAAAGAGCATGCAAGGCAAGTAACGTTTTAGGCTTTAACGTATTGAATATTGTTTTCTATAAATAAAGAAATATAAAATTTCTAGGATAGAAATGCTTAAAGAAATTGTCGTACTCAAAGCCATTCCACCCCATGCTCATCTACTATCATTATTGGGTTGTACCAGCGATCCGTCGGACCCTATGATAATTACGGAATACTGTGCGAATGGTGATTTGGTAAATTGTGTCGAGAAAATTCGGAAGAGAGAGGTAAGCCTATAGAGAACAAGGCTACACCAGAATTATAGACTTTCGTCGAAGACGCTAGGTTTAGGATAGAGACGAGTGGTCAGTGACCATCGCCGATTATCCATCGATTAGCTGGCAGGTTGCGGACGGGATGGTAAGTTGAGGGAGAGAGCGAGAGAACGAGAAGATAAAGAGAGAGAGAGAGAAATAGATAGAGAGAAATAGATAGAGAGTGAGCGAGAGACAGCGAAAGAGAAGGGGAGAGAAGGGGAGAAAGAGAGAGAGCGAGGGAGAGAGAGAGAGAGAGAGAGATAGTGAGCAATTTTTCAGGCGTTTCTCGCAAATCTGCGCATCGTTCATCGCGACCTCGCCGCCAAGAACGTGCTGATGACGGCGGAGAAGATGGCAAAGGTATTTTCAATGTACTAACGTTTGATGGGAGCATCAGGTCAGCGGTTTCGCCGAAAGCCGACCCGAGGACGACCACGACTACATGCGCAACCTGCGGCACAATCGAGCAAAACTCAGATGGTCAGCACCGGAAGCTGTCTCTGATGGGAGATTCTCCGAGAAGTCTGACGTGTAAGTCTCGAAACGCTCTGCAAAATTCACAAACGAGTTTTCAGATGGTCATTCGGAGTCCTCCTCTGGGAGATGCACACGTTTGGCGAGACGCCTTTCGAGAAGATCCCACTCGAAAGATTTCCCGATTATTTGAATAGTGGCCAGACGCTGGTCCCACCTGAATCCACCCCGCATTGGATGTAAGTAGATCGATTGAGAATACCGACGCGACCGAATTATCCGAATCCGAATTAAAGGTGGAATTCGAGGTCCAAAACATTTAAGGGTCGAATTGATGCATAGCTGCTGGCGACTGAAGCCAAAACTTCGCCCAACTTTTTGCCACGTTGTGCGACAGACTACGCAACCACGTGCAACTCCTAAAGCACAACGAATATTATTTGAATCTGAGGTATGTCAACGCCCAAGAAAAATTCGGAATTTTAGCCATCTTCCGGAGATTTTTTCGGAAACACCTGTCCAAGCAGCGCATCCGGAAGATCCAGAAACAGAAGGAATTGTTGAAAATGGCGGTTTTGACGACTCCACAACGGCTACGATTTAAACAATATTACTTCAACAAAAATAAAATTAAATTTACATCGCAAAACAGCGGCGGACCCAGAGAGAGAGACCGAGAGAGAGAGAGAGAGAGACCGAGAGAGAGAGAGAGAGAGAGACCGAGAGAGAGAGAGACCGAGAGAGAGAGAGAGAGAGCGAGTGATTGAGTGATAGATAGCACATTAATACCCACATACAGTATTTGCATTACAGGAAAATTCCGTAGTGCATCTGGCTTCCGGCTTCGCCGATTTCATGGAATTCCGTATTCGGTGTTCGAACCCACTTGCGACCACTTCTCGCGTGGACATGCTAATCCCATTCGACGTAGGCAAATTGGGGTGTTATGCAAACTACGCGCCAGGAAAACTGGGCATCATCAGCCCTCAGATGGGCCATCTGCACGCTCGTCTTCTGCGTGGCTGCTCTCGGGGGGTGTGGCAAGAAAAAGAAGAAAGGTAAGCCTAAGCCTAAGCCTAAGCATAAGCATGAGCATAAGCCTGAGCATGGGCCTAAGCCGAAGCCGAAGCCAAAGCCTAGATGTAAGCCGAAATCTAAGCCAAGCCGTTCCAGTGGTCGCCGTCACGCCAAAACCGGCTCCAGCCCCTGCCCCACCCAAGCCAGCCCCAGCCCGAAGACAGATACGCGAAGTCGATCGTTAGTTTTGTTGTCGTCGTTCTTACCAAAAGGCTAATCTAAATAACGGCTGCGTTACTACATCGTTCTTACAAATTTCGCGAAAAATTTAAAATTCGGAAAATCGAAGTTTATCACCAAAAATGCCAATTTCGAGTTTTTCGATTTTCGATTGATTGGTTCAGAGGAATACCCCGGGGAAGAGCTGATCTACTTTGGTAACGACGCCGCGGTGAGAGAGGTGAAAAACTATGTGGATCCGGCGCTTCTTGAAAGAATGTCGCCGTCGCGGAAGATAGAGAAGACCCAGGAGAGTGAGAAGCGGAAAGCGGAAAGCGAAAAAAAGGAGAAGGAGAAGGAGAAAAAGGAGGAGAGCGAGAAAAAGAAGGATGATCCGGAAAAGAAAAGCCGCAAGGAAAAGAAGGAGGACGAAGAGAAGAAGAGCGAGAAGAAGCCGAAGGAGCAGGAGGAGAAGGAGGGTCCAAAAGAGGTACGGGTGCTTCCGGTTTGGCGGAGAGAGGTTCTCCACCTACACCTTGACGTTAGCGGGCGGCCGTATCGGAGGCCTAATTTCCATATTTTTCTTTTTTTTCGGGATTCGTTAGAAGATAAAAAAAAATAGGAAATTTGAATGCAAAGGCAGCTAACGACAAGGACCCCCCGCTAAAAAACAAGAACCCCTTCCCCTAACAAACACTGTAGAATAATCGAAAACCAGCGCCCAAAACCCGCTTCGCGGGCCTTGGGCGCTGGAATGCGGCCTTTGCATGACAAATTCGACTTCCCGATAGCTCGGGTTCTTCGACCCCCTTCCCCCCACCGGCCACACCCGCGAGTGCAACCGGCAAGAATGAGGAAATTTGTATTTTGCCGCATTATGCAAATTAGCCCTCAGGGACCCCCAAAAATGAATAAAACCGGCTTTAACTTTGTAAACTTGTATTTTATCGAAATTCTGACAACGCCATCGGAAACAGAAGGGTCGATTCCCCCGGGTGACGGAGAATTAAGGCATTTTATGCACGGGAAGGCCCTTAAATCGGGCCTCTAAAGTGACATCCACACACACACACACACATACGCGCCAAAATTATATAAGGTAGGATACGTTCGAAGACGGATCTCGACGCACACAATCAAAGCAAGGGGACGGCGCGACGATTTCCAACCCTTTTAATGCAACTTTTCAGAAAGAGAAGAGCACGAAAAAAAAGGAGGAGGATGAAAAGAAGAGTGAAAAGAAGAAGGAGAGCGAGAAAAACAGTGCGAAGAAAGATGAGGAAAAGAAGGAGAGCGAAAAGAAATCGAAGCGAGATGAGAAAAAGGAGACCGAAAAAGAGGTACCGAAGTGTTTTTTAGTAATATTTTGATTGCTACAAAGTTTGCTACCTATTTTTAAAGATTAAAACCCTTTTAGATATTGACACTTTTTCATTATTTTTGACTCAAAATCCAACATTCAAAAATTTCAAATTTTTTGGCTACTTTCAATATCTAAAACCATACAAAAATGTTACAAAATGGATTCATAGTTCGTTCTCAAGCCGCAAGCCGCTAACTCCCCCCCCCCGCTAACACACCAAAACCTACATTAGCATAAAAATTTCAAACCCCTAAGCTTAATAGAAAACCTAAAAAAGAAAATCTTGAAAGAGCTATTTCAGAAGAGAAGAGCACGAAGAATGAGAAGAAGAGTGAGAAGAAGGTGGCTGCAGAGAAGAAGGAAGCCAGCAAGAAGGAGAAGAAAGACGAGGAAAAGAAGGAGAGCGAAAAGAAGGAGAGCGAGAAGGAGGTGAATTTTAAATTTTTTGGTAAGCACTGTCTCGTATTTTTGCAGAAAGCTGACGTGAAAGAAGAGAAGAAAGAAGAGCCAAGAACTGAAGACAAAAAAGACGAGAAGCTGGTCGGGTTTATCGAATTTCAAAAATTTAATTTTTTACAGAAGGCAAAGCCAAAAGCGGAAGACGTGAAAAAAGAAGACGAGAAGAAGGAGGGAGAAAAGAAGGAGGAGACGGAGAAGAAAGATGGGGAAAAGAAGGAGGGAGAAAAGAAAAAGGAAGAGGCTGAGAAGAAAGAGGAGGAAAAGAAGGAGGAGCCGAAAGCAGAGGAGAACAAGGAGCAAGAGAAGAAGCCGGAGGCGGCCGAGGCTCCGCCTCCAACGGCTTGAGGCGTACGGTGTTTTTTTTGCCTGTTTATCGATCAGATTTTTTAGCACTCCGCTCCTCTGTTGCTGACTTAATCCGGCCGGATTTTTGTGCGCAAATGGCCGACGCTTCATTCGACTACAAAACATGATCGATCACCTCATTACATTGTTGTAATTGTGTTGTGTTGATAAAAGTCATTCGAAAACGAGAGAGAGAGAGAGAGCGAGAGGGAGCAAGGAGAGAGAGACAGCGAGATTTGCATAACAGCAAAATTCCGGAGCAAACCCGCTTCCGCTTTGCGAATGTCTTCGAGTTTCGTCTTGCATTTTTCTAGCCGCTTCCAGGCACTTGCCTCCCGGCTATGCTAATCCTATTCGACGTAGGCAAATTGGGGTGTTATGCAAATTACGCTCCAGGAAAACTGGACATCATCAGCCCTCGGATGGGCCATCTGCACGCTCGTCTTCTGCGTGGCTGCCCTCGCGGGGTGTGGAAGGAAGAAGGAGCAAGGCAAGGGCCTATGTACTGTCGGGGAATAAACTTAAAAAACTTAACCCCGCCCCGCCCAATAGAACCTAAAATCCAAAATTCGTTTTAGTGATCATCTACCGAAATGTTCCCGTCGCCATCACACGAAGCCCGGAGCAAACCTCTACCACGCAAACCTACGTCAGGGCATTCCCAGAGGATCCGGACGATGACCCAGACCCAGAGCTGCCGACCCGTTGGTTTTGCTAACGCTGACCAAAATGTCAAAAAACCGCGGCGTTATTTTTTTTACTTTAACGTTTGACATGACAGTATTTTTGAGCTGCCATAAGCGCTTTCAAAGCATTTTTCTAAGCTAAACTCTAGTTTACCCCAGCCGTAACTTTTCATCCATACGTCCTATTAATGCGCCGAGTATCTCAAAGTGTTCCCCGTGGTCGAATTACTATAAAAAAGTTGTTTTCTTACATCCAAAATTGTTAGAAAAATTTTTATAACAATTATAAGTCTGGGTTTTCTTTAGTTAATTTTGCTGTTCCAAAGTGAGTTTTCGTATCTCGGCTATCTTTAGTCGTACAGAGCTGTCAATGGTACCAAAATGTAGCTCTTGCTCTGTAAAATAAGCTTACAGTAATTTTGAATCGAAAAAAATAGCGGAAAATAAAAATATTTGAGTTTTAGTCTCCTGGTACATTGATGCACAGCGGCTTAATATTTTCAACTTTCAAAATCTTGTAAAAAAAATTCTAGCAATTTTTGCCGCGAGAAAAACAACTGTTTTATAGTAATTCGACCACGGCGAACATACTCCGCGCATTAATAGGACGTATGGCTGAAAAGTTAGGGCTGGGGGGGGGGGGTAAACTAGAGTCTTACCTTTTTCTAGGTTAGAGTGCACTTTACCCCCCAGCTGGCACCCCACTTTGTATCTCAGCTCCCCGTTCATCTACAGGTGTGTAAAGTATACCGCAATGTTCGTCTTGCTCTGGCGAATATTTTGTTATACTTTACACACATGTAGATGAACAGGGAGCCGAGATCCGGTAGGTGGGGGTCGGCTGGGGGGTGGGGTCAAGCTGCATAAGCCTTTTTCTATCTGCTGCCAAATGACGTTGAAAAATTGATCTAATTTTCAAAAATAGGAGAAAATGCGAAAAAAAATGGTTGAACAGCGTAAAAAAGACCTAAAAATGCTTCAAATTCCCCGAAACAGGCCGAAAATACACCTTGTCGATAGCTAAAGCTAAAACTCTGCCCGGCATTCAGCTCTTCCGAAATATGTCTTCGACCCGAATCGTGAACCGCCACCGGGCGAGCTGCCGGACTGGGACGTAGCTCCGCACTACGCAAGGGCGCGATGGGCGCGCATCGAAAAGGAGAAGGCGGTAGGGTTCTTTCGTATTATTGGGGGAGGGGCTGACTAGCAATGCCTAGTAAGTTAATATAAAATGTTTTAATCGTCTTTAAGGTAATATACAACTATATTTCAACTCAAAACACTATTAAATACTTTCAAAAATGTTGAAAATTCGAACTTTTTGTGTCGAGAATCCGCATTTTTCGGTCCTTATTAATTATGATAATTTTTTAATAAAAGTTTGTAACGTTTTAAGTTCCAGGAATAGTGAAAACCATTCAGAAAAAACCACCACAATTTATATGCAAAAATTAGGTTCTGAGAAAAAATTTACTGCCCCCCCCCCGATAATTTGAAAAAACAAAAATCATTGGTCGCAGAAAGCGCTCGCGAAGAAGAAAGCTGAAGAAAAGAAGCAGGAGCCGAAGAAGGACGAAGAAAAGAAGGAGGGTGAGAGAAAACCAAATTTATCACGCCTCTCGCCGCCAGACGCTAATTTAGAAAAATCTAAAGCTTAAATTTTAACGATTAGAAAAATTTGATCCTTTGTTGCAGTGATTGCTGCTTGTCCGATGTGTCATCGTCCGTTCGATGTTGATCAGTCGATGAAAGAGGAGCAGAAGAAGGACGGAGAACAGAAGGAGAACGAGACGAAGAGTGAGATAAAAAAGGAGGACAAGAAGCAGCCGGTGAACATGGTAGCTGCCAACCAGAAGAAGGAGAGCGACAATCAGTCGAAGACGGTACGGTGGCTTTGGTGCTTTTGCAATAACGTGGGTGGTGCTACAAACGGCCAAACCGAGTTTTTCGTATACGTCCAGAAATTCTAATAGCGCAATTTTCATGGTTTTGTAGCCAATTTATTTCTATTTCACGCGGAAAAGCTATCTAAAAAACTCTAAAAATTCTCAATTTTGATCGAAAAATCGAGATTTTGTATATGTTTAGTAAAACTTTGTGGGGGTTTTGCATTTTTTGAATAGTAAAAACGGTGTCCAAACACGACCTCCACTAATCTTTAAAAAAATTGGTGCTACGAAATTGATTTTCCACTTGATTCTCCCCCGATAATGCCAAAGTGCAAGCGAACCGTCTTTCTTTCAGAGATATGTCCGGCGGAAAAAGGAGAAGAAGGAAGAGAAAGAAGAAAACGAAAACTATGTGTAATAGTTGGTTCGGAAGGAAAAGAGGCCCCCCTGCCACTTGGGGATTACGGTAAGAATCGGGGAGAATCCGCATAGAGCGGGAGAGAGAGAGAGTGCGACAAAAAGAGAGAGCGAGTGGTAGAGTGCGACGAATCATGAGAGAGAGACAGAGAGTGCCAGAAAGAAGAGAGAGAGGGAGAGAGCGAGAGAGAGTGACAGAAAAATATCATTTTCCAGGTCTACTGGCGCCAAATGTTTGTATTCCTCTACCATCCGCCTGGCCATCTACCGTGATCGCCTCCTTACATTACCATAATTATATTGTGACGATAAAAGCTCTGTGCAATTTTTTACAGGAAATTGTCGCTGTTATTGACGAGAATAAATCAAAGGGAATGAGAGAGAGAGAGAGAGAGAGAGAGAGAGCGAGAGAGAGAGAGGGAGAGATAACGACAGATAGATACAGCCAATATCCCTATACAGTAATTTGAATGACAGCAAAATTACGAAGTAAGGCCGCTTCCGGATTTGCCGATTTCTTCGAATTTCGTGTTGCATTTCTCTAGCCGCTTCCTGGCACTTGCCTCCCGGCCATGCTAATCCCATTCGAGGTAGGGAAGTTCGGGCGTTATTCAAATTACTCGTCAGGAGAACTGGGCACCAGCGGCCCTCGGATGGGTCATCGGCACGCTCGTCTTCTGCGTGGCTGCCCTCGCGGGGTGTAGAAGGAGGGGAGGTGGGGAAACAAAAGAATTTGAGAGCCCAGTTTTTTGGAATTTGCCTGAAAAATTGCATAAGTTTGTTTGGAAATTTTTTTAGTTTGTCATATGGTTTTTATTGGAAAAATGATGTAAAATGCGATAAAAATGGTTTATATTTTCTTGTATGACTGTAGAGAATAACAGTGAAAATTTGG